CAGAGTAACAATCTTTAACAGTCCAGAGAGGTAACACAGGTTAAAGTTCAAAAAGCTGAATGATTGATCTACCTCACAATGCAGAAACACAACGACACGTTATTGATATGGTATCCCCACTGGGGCTGACATAACTATTTAAACATCTACCTGCAGTGAGTGTCCGTACAAACACTAAGACACAGGCGAGCGCTCAGCCGCAGCTATGATTACCTCTGAGATCACATTGTCAAAAGCCCAGATTAAGCAACATCTAAAAACAGTCAGAGGATTACAAGACATTCTCTGTTATGTCCCTGACAGCTCGTCTCAAGGTGACCCGGTCCTTAGCATAGGATAAGAAGCACTTGGATCAGAAGATAAATCATGCAAAACACAAAGCGGAAACGAAAAAATAAAAGCATCTGTAATCTATAATACAAAAGAACCACAACAAAAGAACATCAGATATGAGCTGAAATAACTTTCAAGTTTCTGAAGCTCAGAAAGCGTCTCCTGACACCTGATAATCCATGGCAGTCAGGAAATCAACGTTTCCTGCCTCACTCCTGATCGCTGAAGGGCTTTATCTACAAACACAGGCATGCATCTGACCTGAAGACAATCACTTCACTAGAAGGCCAAGTTAGAAACAAAAAAAAGATGAAAATTGTCTTTCCACAGAGAAGGATGTTGAAAAGCATTGCTCTGTCAAGATATTGTACAACGCGATGAGCAGACGGACACCTGAGAACAATCGAAAACGTGTAATATTCACATACAGTCTGAACCCCAAACAGCAACAGTTGGTGTGGATGCTGCCGAGGCTCAGAAAGGCCAGCATGTAGAGGTGCAGTGAGGAGAATAAAAACAATCTCCTAAGAAAGGTTTTATTTCATTTTCTCATCTGCACAACTGACTTTCCTCTTACAAAACAGCATAAGCTTGACGAAAAACCTGCAAGATTGGCACAGATATACATTGAACTGGCCTAATGTCAACAAGCAGGTGAGGATTTTAGACTTTGCCAGCTGTCTCAGGAAGAACAACCACAACAACCGCTTGAACTTGCAGCTACGTAGCATTCTAGTTAAATCTATCACCGAGACTCTGGTGGTCAATAAATAATGGATCAAATGTATGAAAAAATTAACCAATATTCCTGCAGATTGAGAACCAGTTGCTTTACATTTCACTGGAGAATCTGTGGCACTGATGTGATGTGTACGTCGGTACACAACAGGAGCGCAGACCTGCACCGGACTCTTCCAAATATAGATCCAAAATGGCTGCCATGTGAATACAGTTTTACACAGAATGAGGTCACAACGGTACATTGTTATATGCCCTGACGAAACAACATATACCTTTAAAGCTTTTCTGATTAAAAATAGAGAAAATTCATACTTTCTTTTTTTTTTTTTTATAGAATTCTAAATATATATATTTGTCCTGCAGTGAGAGGATTATTAAAGATTTAAATGATAAAACACAGTAAAGATAATAACAATAATAACAATGAAAAGGTAAAATAAAACAAAAAAAATCTCTCCCCGAGAGGATAAAACATTGCTGTCAATCAGTAGCTGTGTTTAAGTGTAAACAGTGCATTGCCTTTCCTTGTTATTAACTTCTCTTTTGTTCTGTACATCTATGCAGAAATAAATAATTCACAGGTTGTGCATATTTGTTTAGCATATACTGGCTCTCAGTTGAGATGTTATTTTATCTTTTTTTTTCCGAAATCATTTTGGCTATGAAGAACAAAAGAGGTGAGTTGCTGAGAGAAAACCTGAGATAGTGTAACTGAGCTTCAGTTTGTGTCTTTCTGTACAGTTTATGGTTCTTCTCTTTTTGGCATAGATTATGTAGAAAATGAGGTTGATTTTTGGCTTTACTTAGCGTGGAAATAAAAAAAATAAAATAAAATAAAGGGGAAAGGCTGTGGGTTTGTTAAGACAACTGATTGCTGGAGGTTGAGGTAGGTGTGTGCTGTTGCTGTGGAGCCACACGACTGCTGACCGTCTTGTTGGAGACGGACGATCCGACCGCACCGGACACAGCCGACCCTGCTGCTGCCTGAGCAAAAAGAACACCTGTAAAGGAAAGAAACCAGATACACACAAATGAAGGTTAGAATACAAAGTATACCTGTTTAATTTCATCTCCATTTTAAAATAAAGCTTAAAGGACAAGTACAGATACAGAGCTAGCACCAATTGGTTACATCGTGTCACTCCCGCTAAAACCACAAACTGTTCATTTTACAAGGCTAAAATGAAACAAGGCAGATGTTTCCCCCTGTTTTCAGTCTTTATGCTAAGCTAGTTACTGTAGCTCCGGGCTTAACACACAGACATGAAAGTGTCTTCTTATCTTACTCTAGGAAAATGTGAAATAATGATACAAAATAATGCTGATCAACTCAATGAGTTCCTGTTTATATATTAAATTAAACTTCCTGTGTTACATGACGGCGACACTCACCAGCGTACACCACTCCGTTGAGCTCCACTGACATGCTGATGCTGCTTGTGCCGTTGGTGGTGAGGTTCAGGGCCGAGTCCTGTCTGCTGTCTATAAGGAAGACAAACCCCAAAGAAGAGCTGCGTTAACAAAACTGTAGTTTTCTATTCAGTATAAAGACTCCAAGATGTCTTTGTATCATCAGTCCAGAGTTGACTTCTGCCTGATATTTCTATGAACCAAAGGAGCAATTTAAGAACAGAATACTCTTTCTCACAGCACAAACAATATTGGGTGGGAATTTGCAAAAACGTTCAATATTTCTCTGAAGTCACCTGTATTATCAGTACTGAGAAACAGTTTGCATGTTGAATCAGATAGACAGCAACCAAGACAGACTGTTCTATAAGTGTCTGATGGCAGACGGGAATCCCCGCTCAGACACACACACACATGCACTGTGTATATGTATGCATACGGCTTCTATATGCTAAGCAGTTCAACATATAGGCCGGCTGAGGTTTACTTCCTCGCAGTGGTTTGTGGTAAGATGACAAGAATGTCTTGAGATACTAACTGCCAGGAAGACGGAGAGTGTGTGAAATCCAGCTTGTGTAACTTCTGGGGTAAACAATGAAATGTAATATTGACAATGATGCCCACAGAAGATGTGATGTGGTAATATTGATATGCATTTTGTTCCATTATTGCAGATTCTTATAATTTTTTCTTCAGAAGTACATCTCTCTGAAGATCATACTTTGTACTGATTGATTATTGTAACCCTAAATACATGAGTATGGATTTTAAAATTCCTCAAAGCAGCACCCTATCAACACATTAGTTACAGATCATGCATTTTGAAATGACTGTTGAATTTTACATCAATGTGGTGAGAAAATGAACCTTCTTCCGTCTGAGAAACCTCACTAAAGTCAGACCCTTTGAGATTCGGCAGATGTAAAAAGCTGGTTCACACTTCTGTGTTGTGTTGATTTGATAGTGGAAGGATATCCACAGGGGAGCACAGACTAACGTGTTTTGTTTTAGCTGAATAAATCAGTACCTTGGTTATTGATGCGGATATTCATGGGTATCTGAGCGGTCATGGCCAGCAGGTTGTGTTGCAGCGCTCTCTGCAGCAGTCGTTGGTGTTCCTCGGCCGGCAGCGCCATCTTCTTCTCTGGTGGCTCGCCGGCCACCAGTTTGTCCCTCAGCTGCTCCAGAGCTGCCATCTGAGCCGCCATCGCTGCCTGTGTTGCTGCTGCCTGCATAGAAGCCATCGAGTGACCCGCCAGGGCCCCCGCTGGCAGACGAGCCACACTGACCCCCGGCAGCGGGTGCCCTCCATCCTCTTTTGGCAGGAAACCACAGAGAGGGAGACATGGGTGAACTTAACTCAAATACAACTGTGCAAGACATAAATTAGGTTCCTCCGTGACCACACAGACAGTAAAACAGCTGGTCTGAGATACTTTGTTACTGCTTGCTAAGATATCTTATTTTGGTAACACCCTAACCCCACAGAGGAACTACCTCCAGTCATATGAAGGATTGATATATTCATTTAAAAATAGCACAGGCAAGTTGCAATGATTCAAAATGTGAGTGCAGCATAATATGTAAACCTCACCTTTCTTGATCTTGTGGACGGGGGTCAGCGAGGCCCCGTTGGTGCCCACCATCAGGCCCACACTGGATGAGGAGAGCTTTGGCGAAGAGAGCATGGTGGGCGTCCCGTTGGGTGAGTATGTGAAGAGGGAGCTGCCAAAGCTCTGTCGCCGGCCCTCCCGCCGATTACTGTCAATGGCTGCCTGGAGCTCGTTGGGGTTGCTCAGACTTCTCTTAACACATTCATATGGGTACAGGTACTTCATGTATCTGAAAGGAATACAATGACTTTATGTTTCACAGGGATGTCCTGAGATTTAATCGACCACTGAAAATGTCAACTACTTCATAAAACGTAAATAAATACAAAGCTTTAAAACTCTTTCCATCATAAAGCTCCTCCGCACCATATACTGGCTCCCAGTGGCTGCTTGAATCCGGTTTAGGACACTGGTACTTGCCTACCATACCTCAGGCCCGTCCTTCATCCAGAACATGGTCAAACCATACACCCCAGCCCGTCCACTATGCTCTGCTACCGCCAATAGACTTGCTACTCCCTCATTACGAAGGGGGCCGACTACCGCTCAGCAAAGTCTCGACTGTTTGCTGTCCTAGACAAACAATGGTGGAACAAGCTCCCCATTGACATCGGGACAACAGAAACTCTGCTAATCTTACATTGCAGACTGAAAACTTATCGGTTCAGATCTGTTAGAAACAAACAAAAAATCTCTTTCTCCATGTTGTCTCTAAATGTAGCACTTGAAGCAGCTCAGCATATTTGCTGAAGTTGATGCACTTGCATGACTTTTGTTGTTGTACTGACATGGTTGAATGCACTTTTTGCATTCTAATAAACTAAATAAATGTAATGTTATAGTGATGTCATCAGAATTGTCTCAGATTGGGCTTGAAGAGGATTTCAAGGGATGGACAATAACTTGAGGAGATCGAAGAATCAACTAAATAATGGCTCAAGAATCTTAAAGCTGCCGGTCTCATTCTCATGGGAAGGGCTCTGCGGTGCAGCTAATTAGGAGTGAGAGAGTACTGCAATCTGAGCCAACTACAGGAAATTACTTCAAACAAAGGAGTTAATTGGTCGAACAAAATGGTTGTGGACATCTGATAGCCAGCAGCTCCACATGCTTGAAATCGCTGAGCAAGAACAATAGGATTATGGGTATAAGAGTTGTGGCTGAATTAAGATATAGAAAACTCAAATTAGTTGTGTTGTTGATCTCTATTCTGAGCAGGAAAAACTGTCAATTAAAATGGCTGCTTGTGAGTTTTGCTCACAGGTCTGTGTGGCTAGTCTAACAGTGTGAATCCAAACACAGACAAACACAAATGTAACCAACTCTGTGTGTGTGTGTGTATGTGTGTGTGTGTGGGTGTGTGTGTGTGTGTGTGTGTGTGTGTACTGACTGTGTGCGGAGGGTGAAGGCTGCACTGGTGATTGAGGTAGGCAGGTTGAGTCCCTTGGTGATCTCCCTCCACAGTTTCTTGTTGATGACCTCCACCAGGCCGCCCTTCTCTGTCACCAGCCTGTAGAGCATGTACAGATCCAGGACCTGCTTGGCCATAATGGGAATACGATTCACTGGGGTTCCTGTAATAACACAAACACACACACACACACACACGGGAAAAGTCAACACAACAAAATAATAATTAAAAACACTGTAATAGGAGACTTCTTTTCATGTTGACAGGATTCTTGCTGGGAATCTGCTTTGGGGTTTGAAAAGAGCTTTAATAATTTTACCAACCAATAATATTTAATCAGGACTCATAATGGTGCTGAGGTATAATGATGGTTTACTCAACACCACATCTGACATTTGCTTTACCTTCCATTGTCCTTCAACAGACAACTAGGCTGGAGGATCTTTTGACAACACACACACAGAGCTAGGAGCAGATCGGTAAGGAAACACGCTCAGAAACCGTGCTAATAAAGGCATTAAACCTGAAAATGTTTGGGGAATGAAGCGTGGTGTACTGGAGGAGAGTGTGTCTATTCATTGTGATGGATCTTTTGATTTTGATCATTTGATTTTCAGTCTACAAAACATTTAAACATTTACAGTGTTTAAATGCGTCTCATAAAATATACAAACCAGTATTTGTTGTTACTCAACCTGACAAAGCTGTTTTCTTGTCTTCAGACTAGCGATGACAAGTTAATGTCAAACCAAGTATGAGACAAAAATGCCTTGGGAAAAGACCTAATCAATATTTCCAATACTATCAATCTGTGACAAATGTCCTTTTCCCAGAAAGGAAAATTAAAGCCTTCATTATTCTTTTTATCAAGATATATTCATTTAAACACACACTGAAGACAAACTCAATCTTCAGCTCCACTTTTGACATGAAATATGATCAATCCTAGATTTGCATCTTAAGGAGCGACGCCTCAGTTATCGGTACGACCTGCAGATGGAGCTCTCAGATTCTGAGAGCAGACTGAGATCCGCCCATTGCTGGTGGCTCAGACACTGTAAACATTTAGTATTGTTTTGTTCAGTTGTTGTGAGCACGTCTGGAGTCTGATTGCAACCGTTGCCCGCTGTTCTAATTATTTCATCCATAAATTCAACTTGTCAAATTAACAAGGCTGCTTGGTATTTATGAGAGAAGGAAGATTTAAAATTAGCCATACATGCAAATACAAAATTACACAATCTTTCAAATATTTCCGAAATATGACAATGCATTGTTTGCATGAAGAGAACTGAGATTTTTTTTATTTTTTTTGTCTCAGTTTGCAGTTCTGATGTTGTGTGTGTCACCAGTGTGCAGATCCTACATGGTGGTCGAGTCAGTGTGTGTGCGTGTGTGTGTGTGTGTGTGTGTGTGTGTGTGTGCCTGTGTGTGCCTGTGTGTTAGTGTGGACAAGCAGCAGGATGGAAAGGTAACTCAATCTATTCCCAGGCATTGATACGCTGTGTCCCTTCTAGTTATAGCTTTGGAACGACGAGTGGCTGCGCAATCATAAAGCAATCGTCTCCGAAAATGAATAAAGAACCCACCCATGTGAGTGAAAGATGAGCAGACGGTGCTGTGTCATATGTCAGAAGGGGAGGAGGGGCGGGTCATCTCTCCAACTATTAGCGGTCTAAGTACGACACTGACTGTAGATAAAGCGAGGAGATATAATACGGCTAGTTAAGACACTGAATGGATGTAGGTGTACTCTGATGAGTTAGAGCAAACGTGGTCTACTGATGCAGTACACTTACACACACACACACACACACACAGTTACATACCTCTTTTTTGCATGAAGCTGAAGAGGTCATCCAGAAATTCTTTTCTTTTTGGGTCCCTATCCAGTTCATACAACTGTGGAGAGGAAGAGAAGAGAGACAGATGACGCAACAACTTATTATTTCATATAAAATGCAACAAATGTTTGAGCTCTGACATTAGAAGACCAAAGCAGAGGAATACCAGGGTGTCACATAATCAATCTGAATAAGTAATGGTGCATTGAATAGATGTCAATCCCGTCATATATTTTTACGAGAAACCAATCCGTTTCCCTCTCATCATAAGAAGAGATGACAGAGAGAGAAACTTAAAGAAATGCTGCGGACCAGTCTGGCTTGATGAGAACCTGATGTGGCTCCAGCTGCTAGCGGGGCCCCGGGCTCTGGAAACGTTCGGTGAAAGTTGGCAGTTAAAGAGAGGCGCCAACTCAGGGGAGTACAGTGAGGCCATTGAAGCCTGTGGTTGTTTTCCCAGCCCAGTTTGCCAGAGTGATATAGAAGAATCGTGCGGGACGTCTTTATGTGTCACACACTTAATGCTAACGGTTGCTCTATCTTAGGTGGGTAAACAGAGCAGCAGCTTCAGTATCGTACTCGAGGCATTCACAGTTATATCTACATATCACACAGTATCTATATGAGGTCATGGCGTTTCACAATCTGTTATAGTCAGTGTTAAGTTGTGAAACACAGGCACCACATTGTGACTACACAGACACAACAACACAACAGCAAGCAGGCAAAGTCACAACTAACCCTCATGTTGTATATTCCAGTGAAGAGCGTTACATGCCACATCACAGGAAATCATTAACCTCACAGCATGAAACTTACACCAATAACCATCACACACTAAAACTAATGAGCAACTGTTTCCATAATTGATTAAGGACAAATATTTTTTCTCAACATTGTGAAGATTTTTACACAAAATGTTGTCTTTGTGTTTTTTGGACTGTTGGTTGGACAAAACAAGCAACCAGAAGATTTCCACTGAGGCTTTAGGAGAGAAGATAAGATGGACATTTTTCACATTTCTGATACTTTACAGACCAAACAAGAGTTCTGTGTAACTGACCAAAACTAAAACGGTTGAAACGTGCAGCTCAGCATACAAAAAAGACAATTTGACAGTACATTTTTTATTAGAGTCAAAACAGCAAGTCTGCTAATTATTTCCTTGATTAATCGATTAATGTCTGTGAAAAAGTAAATTTTTTCAGAGACGAAGGTGACGTCTTCAAATAGCTTGTTTTGTCCCAAAACCGAAAGAACAGAAACAAAGAAGAAAATATTCACACTGGAGAATCTGGAAACAGAAAACATTTGACATTTCTGCTTAAAAAATTAAAATTAAAATAAATATCAAAATTGATTCATTATGAGACAATCAGCTAACTGATTGATCGGCTTATTATTGCTGCTCTATTAAAATTCTAGGAATTTCCTCTCACTTGTATTGACTGAATCACTGATAAAAATCCCTGTTGAACAAGTCTGTGTGCGCTAAAACAAGCAGTCTGATAGAAGAAACTGCATGCTCGTTTGACTGATACTTGACATTGATTCAGATTTACTTGCTAAATCTGCTCTCCCACCACATTGACAAGTGAGGCTAAATAAAACAACAATCTGCAGTCAGTTACTAAAATATTTCTGCGTTTGCTTTAAAGCTCCCAGCCAGCGGAAATGAGAAGGAAAGGCTCGTCAAGCTGAAGTCTGGTATGATTAGTGACAGTAGTGGCCTCTTGCCACTAACAAACTGACCCTCATTGTGGCATTCAGCCCTCATTAGTGACACCAAGTTGCCATTAGATCTTATAGTCTTGTCGGTAGGGGGAACAGAGGAGTGGGGAACGAGGAGGGTTGAGGTGGGGGATGCCGCCTAATGTACAGGCCTGCTGGCAAAGGGGGGCTGTAATTACAGGATGCATGCGTTTTGTGAAGTGCCGCACCATAAATCTTGGAAATTACTCCTTAAACTCCCATCCCCCCCATGTTGCTTTATTTGCTCTCCACCCCCACCCCTCTCTCTGTCCTGATCACACAAACAAATATTTCCCTAGTGGCGCTGTGGGAGCACTGTCACATGGAAACAAGTGGACTAACGTTCAGATCCCTGTCGCTCCAGATGTGGTAACACGGCACGAAAAAAGGTTTCTGAACGAACAAGACGCAGTTCAACCACTTCTTTCCACAATGACACCAGCAATCAGTGTGAGCAACAACACACTAAATAAATGAACTATTGAAGCTGGAGATTGTCATAGTCCTCCAAAGCAATTTAAGGACGTTGTAACAGCAGCGCTACAGCGTTGACACGGCAGTGTGTTGATTAGTTCCACGGTTTCCCTGCCAACTGAAGGAGCTGTTACACTTCAGAGGATATGGTGAAGTGTGAACTGTGTTAACACGCTCACAGTATCCCTCTTACTAATGCATATCCAGTTTCAAGCCTCATTCAGTATTCGCTGTTAACATGGACATAGACACGGTATCCTGCTTTGTATTGATGAACATGTGACTATAATCTAATATCTCGCAGCTGTTACCTTCTGTTTCTGTCTCCTGTCTTACTTTGGAAGGTTCAACTGCAACAACTGGGGTAAATGACAGTATCGGGGATATAGAGATGCCTTTCCCTCTTGATAAATCTCACATCAGCATAGGGGAGTTTATTTTCTGTTTAGCAAGGTGATTTTAGCCTACACAGCCAATCGAATAACTGAGATAGTACTAGAATAATCTACGTGATGTTTAAACAGGAACTGCAATACTCTTTAATTAATCAAATTAATAATTCAAATAGGAAATTGCCTTTCAAATGGCATTTTTCTAATTACCTTACCTTCTTTACGTACTGTTTACACCTGTATCTAATCATGACAGTATTGCAATTTTCACACAAACTGCAATCAAACTGATAACAGACGTGCCGTGTAGTGGAACCAGTGTCATCCAAATATTGTTTCATTACAAATGACGTAAATCAGTAGTTGGATTAGTGTGGCTGACTGAGAAAAACATCTTGATCAAACAGCATGATGTAAAAGAAGGAAAACCATGTTTAGGAAAGATCTCTAAACAGGGTTTGTCCAGTGGCTGCAAACGTACACATCACTCTTCATACACTACATTCAGTTCAAAACACGTCAACCTGCGTCTCGGACAGCAGCTGGTAATGGACCAGATACATTATGGAGAGCTGTAGCTCTGAGTGAGACACCTGGTTGACTGAAAGCAGCCAATCAGGATCCTGTCCAACTGTTACCACCACTGCCACCCCTCATTATATATTTTGTCTTCTTTTCCATTTTTTTTTTCTACTTCTACGTTTCCTCATTGTCTTTTTCCTCTTCCTTCTTTTTTTAACTTTCTGTCTTTGTCACTCTTCTAGCAGCTTCCCTCTCATTCTGATTATCTCTTCCCTCTTTCAGCTCCATGTACAGAACCCTTATGTACATTATAGCCCCCCACCCCCACACACACACACACACACACACACACACACACACACAGGAGGAGCGAGAAGGACTTTATCATGATGAGGTGGGTGTTGTTTACTTATTTAGGTTTTCGTGCCTATAGTATGTGCACAGGGGCCCCTATAGGATTAAAGCGCTGCTATTCAGATAAACGACAAGAAACTAGATAAACAACTAGAAACTGGGCCAACTGGTAATGCTGGGAGCCAGTTAACACCCCTTCATCAAATCCCCTGCAACGGAAAAAGCCCATTAAAACAGCAGAGCTGACTAGAAGACTTCCAATTCCCAGATTGTTTAATAAGCTGCAGGGTTTCCAAGACTTTGCTATTCAAAACTCTTTTTGCACACGTTAAAACCAACAACGGAGCCACAATTACAGATTATTCAGATGTTTTGTTGTAGCAAACTTAGAATTAGCATCAAAGACAGAATTTGTTCTGGTGACAAATGGTGACAGTGGAAAATGAAGCAAATGCTGTGTAGTTGGCTGCCAAAGTAACAAGTCGTCCGACTTCACAGCCACACATGAACACGTGGTGGACTGTTCTCTGACAATTTCCCACCCCAGCTGATAAAGGTCAGCGACAGCTCGCCTGGAGATGAATTATAAACAGGCCAGAAAACAAAGTGGTTTTATACTGCAAATAATCAGTAACCAAAGAGCAGCCTGTTGCCATCAAGCAACAGGGGGAGGGGAGGGAGGCTCCCTTCACCATTAATGCAAATAGAAGTTAGCGAGCCAGGGGCACAAGTGTCACATAGCACATAGAGGCTTTGCAACTGAAAACCAAAACTGATAGGAGACTGGGGTATCGTCTAAACATGCTCCTTTACACCTGCCAATCACCTTGAGGTGAAGCTGACACACACACACACACACACACACTTACAAAAACGTACACATAAACACACTCTGGGTCAGAGTTTAAAAAGAAAAAAGTTATGATTGAAACTTTTACTTTACGTGCAACAGTCCTCCCCCACACACTTTTAGGATTGGACGGCTTCACATTAGTTAATTATTTTAAATGTTTGACCAAAGTCCTGCTGCCTTGAATGTCATTCGTCAGGGGGAACTGGCTTCTCGAAGAAGCTACAGCACAACACGCTGGTGCAAATACACAACATTACATTGAAATACACTCAGTGGCCACTTCATTAGGTAGACCTGGACAATATAGTACAATTCAATACAACTGTTTTGCCATAAAGTATATTTTCATGATGCCTATAATGTTTTTATGTATGTTTAGCATTGAGGTCATATTTTAAGAGGCGTTTTTAATATTCTGACACCCAAATGAATATAAAAAGGAGCAAACCATAAACCTGCAAACTACACTGTTCATACTGTGTTCATTATGAAAGTTGCTATAATATATCAGCTTGATATCACGAGCTTCAGCTGCATTTTAATTTATTCCTTTAAGTCAATTTAATACAATGGTTGCCAGTGCGGAACTCAGGGATAAAGATTCCTTTGTGATACTTATAGTTGTTTAATTCCCTATTGTTGGTTTGTAAAACTTAAATGAGCTACAGAACAAGCAAAAAGTTGAGTCCTTGAATGTGATTATAAAACTTT